CTATACAGAGAAATCTGTCTCAGAAAAAAAAAAAAAATGTGCTTTCATTTTAATCTCAGGTGTAGGGATGTGGGGCTGCTTCGGACTGTCCACAGAACTAACCATGATTTGCCTCCTGCTCTAGCCTAGCAGAAGTGTGGTTTTTGCCAGCTGCAGATTGTGTGGTGTTTGGAATTTTGGGAACTTTTCAGAAGGTATATAAATGCTAGGCTCCATTGGTGGGGTTGATTGTTGTTGGTCGTTTAGGGAGGTTGGCTGTGCTTTGTTAGTAGTCGCGCTCAAAGAAGAAACAAAGGGAAAGAAATTAGATTCAGGGATCCCTCTTCCTCTCCCTCTCTTTCTCCCTCTCCCTCTCCCTCTCCCCCCCCTTTCCCCTTTCCTTCTTTCTCTCCTATCTAGTGATGCTAGGTGAAACCAGGGGGAATAAAGGGTAGGAAAAAGAAGAACCCACAAAGTAGCAAAGAGAAGCTACAGCCATGTCTCAAGCCCTATATGTTCTCATTCATTCCTAATTAGTTTCAGGGACAAATATTATCATTCTGTTTTTTTTTAATTTTTATTTATTTATTATATGTAAGTACACTGTAGCTGTCTTCAGACACCCCACAAGAGGGTATCAGATATCATTACAGATGGTTGTGAGCCACCATGTGGTTGCTGGGATTTGAACTCATGACCTCTGGAAGAGCAGTCAGTACTCTTAACCACTGAGCCATCTCACCAGCCCTATCATTCTGTTTTATTCCTTCTGAAAATATTAACTGAAAAAAAAAGAAAATATTAACTGGAAATTATCCAAAATACCAGTTGTAGAAGCTGTAAACGTGCCTAAAAAAGAATGAGTACCTGAGTTCAGATCCTCAGCAGCTATAAAAGCTAAGCTCAGCACTGTGTAACCCCAGCGCTAAGGTGGCAGAGACACTGGATCATAGCCTGGCTAGCCTCAGGAAACCATGATCTATTGCTTCAGTGAGTAACCCTGTCTCCAAAACTAAGGTAGAGGGATGGGGGAAGACATCCAGTGTTGATCTCTGGGCCCCTATATATGTGCACACAGGTGCATAAGACACATGAACATACCCATAGAACACATTTATACATCAACAACTGCCATCCTAATAGATATTAGCTACCATTATAAGCAATACACAATGCTAGCATAGCAGATACAACAACAAATGACAGTTTCTGTTTCCCAGGGCCCAAATTTGAGGAAAACAAAGCTCAAAATTTTTACTTTTTACAAAAGTAAATTACAAAAGTTGGAACCGAAACTCAGAATGTTTTCCATAGAAAATAAGTGGTCTTGGGCTGGGGACATAGTTCAGTGGGAGAGTGTGTGACACACAAGGCCATAGGTTCAGCTACAGTACCCACTCCTCCCCTAAAAAAAAAAAGCATTCTCGTGCTTGCATGTGGATGCTCATGTACCACAACTCATATGTGGAGGTCAACTTGTAGGAATTGGTTCTTTCCTACCGTATGGGTTTCAGAGATTAAAGTTAGACTCTCAAAACTAGTAGCAGGCTTTTCTCTAATGAGCCAGCCTGCAGTCCAAGCAGTCATTTTATAGTGCCAAATTATTTAGACTCCTTAAGGAGGCTAATTAAGAAGCCAAATTATTTAGACTCCTCAAGATTAATTATGGACTAATTAACAGTTAAAGCAAGACTTTTTGACTTGAGCAAAAGCAAAGTAACAATACGTCAATAATTATTGTTATTATTGTTTACTCTTATCTGTTGTTAAGGGCCTGTTGTGCTCTGCTCCGTTCCTCAGTATTAAAATGATACTGTTAAAGAGACACTCTGATAAAGCAGGTCAATCGTGCTTCCCGCACTTCCCTTCCCTTCTGTCAGCAAGGAAAACGGACCGTGTATGTGGAATACAGTGCAAGGCCTTGGGCTAACAGTTTCAAAGTTCCAGATAACAAATCATTGCTGCAGGGACAGCTCTCTGCAGGGCTGTCTTCTGAGCTGTACCTTCTAGGCAGAACAGGTATGATGTAGACATGTGTTGGGGAAAGGATGCATTTCAGGCAGGAGGAACAGCAAAAATACTTGGAGGAGCAGAAGATATGCTCAGGCAACAGCAATGGTTCAGTTTCATTAGAACGTAGGTATGTGAGGCTCCCAGAGATGGGTAAGCAGGTAAAGGTGCTGTCTGCCAAACCTGACATCTTGGGTTTTATTCCCATGACCCACATGGTGGGGTGACAGAACTTCCGAAGGCTGTAGCTTGTGTGTGCCCCACCTCCACGAGTAGGGGCCTGTGTGCATGCACACATTTTATTTTGTCATTTTAATTTTTTTATATGTATGGGTGTTTTTGCCTGCATGTTTGTCTGTGTACTGGTATACAGTATACCTGGTGCCCATGGAAGCTAGAAGACGTGTTGGATCTCCTGGAACTGGAGTTACAGATGTTTGTGAGCCACCATGTGGGTACTGGGAATTGAAACTGGATCCTGTGAAAGATTAGTCATTGCTCTTATCCACTGAGTAATCTTATCTTTCCAGGCCCAGCTATTTTTGTTTCTTTGTCTCTTTGATTTTGAGACAGTGGTCTCTTTTTTTAGTCCTGGCTCTCCTGAACTTCTTTTTGTAGACCAGCCTGGTCTTAACCTCACAGAGTTCCTCCTACCTCAACTTCCTGACCACAGTCAGTCTTTCAACCTTTTTTTAATTCAAAAAATTTTACAAATATGGATATAGTGACTGATCTCTATAGTGGTATATTTCTGTGAGCTTGAGGCCAGCCCTGTCTACATACTGAGTTGCAGGCCAACCAGGGCTATACAGTGAGACCCTGACTAAAAAAAAACAGCAAGCAATAACAAACAGAATATAGGTGTTTGAAAAGAGTGAAAGGTGTGAGTGGGAAGAGGAGCTTTAACAGTATTAAAATAATTTTAAATATCTCTTTCAGGATTCTATCCGTGCAGTCTTGGCAAATATGGACAACCTGAAGCCCTTTGTTACAGAACACTTCATTGTATTTCCCTGTATCCTTTCTTTCCTGGTTCTTCTCCCACCCCTACCCCAGGAAAGTCGAGTTTAATTAGTCTCTATCTCATGTGGCCCAAGGTGGACCTCTATCTACTCTCCAAGTGCTAGGTTACAAGTGTAACCCTGTGTAAAACACCATGCCTGACATTTGGGATTTTGAGGTAGCTAGCCATGGCTGGTCTCACTAGGTAGCCATGGCTGTCCTCCTGAGTATGTTGTTGTCTGATTCAGGGTTTCTATTTCTGCACAAACATTGTGACCAAAAAGCAAGTTGGGGAGAAAAGGGTTTATTCAGCCTACACTCTCAGCATTGCTGTTCATCACCAAAGGAAGTCAGGATTGGAACTCAAGCAGGTCAGGAAGCAGAAACTGATGCAGAAGCCATGGAGGGATGTTACTTACTGGCTTGCTTCCCCTGCCTTGCTCAGCTTGCTTTCTTATAGAACCCAAGACTACCAGCCCAGGGATGGCACCACCCACAATGGGTCCTCTTCCCTTGATCACTAATTGAGAAAATGCCTTACAGCTGGATCTCATGGAGGCATTTCTCTCAAGGGAAGCTCCATTCTCTGTGATAACTCCAGCTTGTGTCAAGTTGACACATAAAACCAGCCAGTACAGTTGTCAAGGATAGCATGGAATTCACAGTAATCTTCCTCCCTCAGGCTCCTGGGTGTTGTGATTATTGGTATGCAACACCACACCTGGATTTTCCTAGCTCTCAGTGACCCACAGGTGACACTGTAGATTCAAATGGAAGCACTGAGACCAAAGGCCGTTTGGACAGTAGGTCAGAGAAGGAGAGCTACTGTCTCAGTCTTCACATAGTTACCAGGGGTGCACACCAGTTTCCTTCCTCAGTTCCTTAGCACCATCCTCAGATAAAAGCAAGTGGGAGAGAGTTTCCCACCTGAAGTTTAAACATGGAGAAATCATCCTGACTCCCTACCCATTTGTTTTTACTCTGTATATAGAGATGAAATGGTTTGCTGAAAATCTGCCTTCGGGTGAGCAACCATGAGAAAGAGGGTGGTGACAAAGAAAATGGGCAGGACTGTGAGCTGACCACCGTGTAGCTGTCTGCCCAATTGGGCTCTAACCACATAGGAGCATAACCACATAGAGCCCTGGAGCATTTCCTTCAAGCTTTGTTCAATACCCTATGGCTTAGGCACCATGTTAAGTTATTTAATCTGCCTATGTCTCCTTTATGAAGTGGTGAGGAGACACACTAATTTGGGGGATTGTATGTATAAGTATTGGTGGGTAGGAATACATAGTGTATCTGGAGAGTAATTACTCAGTGCCAGATACCCATGTAAACATTTAATTTTGTTTTTGCTTGTGAGACAGGCACAAAGGCCTGAGTTTGAATCCCCTATGGCCATATACATGTACCTAAAACTCTGATGTTTGGCCAGGGAGGAGGGTGGTAGGTGGGGAGTTGGCAGAGATGGGCAGATTCTAGGAGCTCACTGGTGGCTGGCAGGCAGAGATGAAATGCTGAGGTTCTGATTTAGTGCCAGATACTGGCTCAAGGGAAGGAGGTGGAGAGCAGAGGACACCCAGTTTGTCAGGGAGTAAAACGTATCCTCCTTTGAAGAGTGTTCTATTAAAGTACAGCTTGAGTTGGGCTGGAGAGATGGCTCAGCGGTTAAGAGCACTAACTGTTCTTCCAGAGGTCCTGAGTTCAATTCCCAGCAACCACATTATAGCTCACAACCATCTGTAATAGGATCCAATGCACTCTTCTTGTGTGTGTCTGAAGATACCTGCAGTATTCTCATAGAAATAAAAATAAATCTTTTTTTTAAAAAACAGCTTGAGTCAACTTCACTTCAGCGTAGAGGCAACAGTTGTTTTGGAGCAAGGAAGGGCAGAAGCTCAAAGTCACTGTTTGTTCAGGAAAGTTGTACCAGGCAAAAAAGGAAAGGGCTCAGGCAGAAGTTTTATCTTAAGACAGTTCCCAGAAACAAATGAAGTCCAGAAACCCAGATAAAACACTCTTGCTGTATTATGACATTCAAATTTCCCATTGTAGGGAAACCAGCAGATGGTATTCCTCTTGAGTTGGTAAGTTTTGCTTTTCTTTGCTTTTTTTTTTCTTTTTTGTCTTTCGAGACAGTTTTGCTTTTCTATACAAAAATGAAAATTGTCTCTCTTGCTTCAAAAGTGCTGCTTTTGTCTCCTCTGCCTTTGCCCTTCAGTTGCTCAGGACCCACAGACTGCAGATACGGGGCCACACATCTCCTTTCTTTCATCTAGAGTTCAGAGGCAGTGTCTCTGGCAGAGTGTCTTACTGAAGTGCAGATGTTACAAGTTTCCTTTGGTAGACAGTCCTCTAAACTTCGAGCCAGTCTAGAAGAAGAAGGGTCCCAGGAGTCTGGTTTCCTTTCTGCAGGTCCTAGCGGAGAAGGAAGCGGAAGAAGCCACAATGAGGAAACGAAAACTCATGGAAGAGCCAGCTTCCCCTTGCAGGCCAGAGCCACACAGGTCAGTGGTGTAGAGAGACTTTGCCACCTATTGCTGTGTGTTGATTCTGCCCTTGAGCAATTGCTTGATTTGTAGGGTTCTGCAGTACCTTGTCCACCCTAGGGATAAACTGAGGCTCTCAGCAAAATAAGATTGATGTGCTCCTCAAGTTAGAGGCTGAGCTAGAGTGTAACTAGACAGAGTGCTCACCTAATAGGTATGAAGCCCTGACGTCAAACAGAAAACTACAGACAAAGGCTAGGAGGAAACACCGTCAGATCTATAGAACTGAACTCAACATAGTGGCATTATGCAATAGAAACCACAAAAAATAAGAATTCTCAGAATTTATATAAAAACAGAAGGAGGCTGAAGAGATAGAGATAGATTGGTTGGTAAAGTGCTTGCCATGCAAGCCTGAGGGCCTGACCCTGGTCCCAGAGTCCATGGGGCTGCCAGGCATGGTGGCCCAGGCTTAGAGCTGCAGGCAAGTGGACCTGTGGGGCTCACTGGCTAGCCAGCCTAGCCTACTTGGCAAGTTCCAGGCCAGTAAGAGACCTTGTCTCAAATAAAAAAGTGGACAGTACTTTGAGAAACAGCACTGGAGGTTGAACTTTGCCCTTCACACAAGTGTACATTCACACATTTGTACATTCACACCCCTATATTTGCATACCTGTACAAACATGCATATACACATGCAAAGGACTTTGAAAAATGAGGACGAATAAAATAGAATTTGTTTTATCCCAGGAACAATTAGCTGAAATGTAAATGTGTGCGAGATACTGTCTGTAGGTGGTACACATTCACAATCTCAGCATTCAGGAGGCAGGGGCAGTAGAGTCAGGGATATTTAAGACACCTTGTCTTTAAAAAATGTAGTGTGCATGAGTTGTCAGCAGGAATGCGAGCATATTCCAACACGCTGAAGTTGCTGCTGCAGAGGCTACTTGTGTCCTTTTGAGTCTCTGTCTGGGAGAATTAGTCAGTTAGACAATCTAGGCATTCTTACCATCCTGGGGATGCCACCTGGAATAATCCAAGGTGTGGTTGCTCCCCAGTCCAAGATGCTTTCATGTCAGTGAAGGTAGGTTACAAAGGGGCTGCCTCTGTTTTCTGGGTGGACTTGTCAGTGACAACTGGGAGTTCATTCCAAGCCATGTGGAATGTGATATTTGAGGTGTAAAACTTGGTTTTATTTTATTTAACTGATTTTCCTACAGAGAGGAGGCCCAGATCTCCCCTGGGTTTTGATGTACAACTGAACATTTCATAGTCTGATACCTCTTTCCATCCCATTTACTGTGTCTCAATCATACCTTTAAATGTCTTCAATTGAAATTCTATTATGAATTAAAGCAACCAAAGAAAATCTTGCCACACAATGTATCCTGCCAGGCAGAAGTAGTATAAAAATAGCCAACTTGCTGAAATATTCATTTGGGCTACATTTGCTTGAATGTGGTGATGTTGCCACAGCCAGTGACATTTCCTGGGCTTTCCTCCCCCACTTCAGGGCCAAAATGAAGACATCTAGTGAAGCTTCCAGCAGTAAGAAGCCTCTGAAGGAGAGCAAGAGGGTAAGCATCAAGACAGGGTCTTGGAGGCTCTGATGGCTCCTTCTCTGTTCTCTGGGCTCCTGTTACACACTCCACTTGGGCCTTGCTGCCCACTGAATTGACTGAACTCACTCTTGGGTTTCACTCTTTGTAGAACGACATTCAACTATTCTGCACTTGTCACTGTCCCCAAAGTAGTTGTATAATGAACACGTCCATGGATCTTTTCATGTTGACAGTCTTCTCGACTTAACTGCTTGTGCTTTATAATTTAAAAATAGGTCTGTATTGAATGGGTGTGAAATCCAATGTAGAATCCTCACTGTAGAAAATTTTTTGCCTTAGTCTATACTGGAGTTTGAGTCTGTGCATGTCTCATTTTAGCAGGTGAGGTGGGCATGTATCAGCCCTAGACATTGGTAGGGAGTGGAGGTACACACCTATAACTCTAACACTCTGGCCAAGGCAGCAAGATGGCTATAGTTTGAGGCCTGCCTAACCACACTATAAGTTTCAGGTCAGCCAGAGCTGTGGAGTAGGACTGGAGGTTGGGGAGGCCAGTGCCATGAAGTGATGTCTTCAGGATCCAAGGAGTCAGTGCATTGGTAACCTCACAGCACGGGAGGTTAGCTGAATTAAACCCAGGCAAGATCTAGGCAGTTATCATCCCTTCATGGAAGGGGGAAGGCACTTAAGCTTAACCCCTATCTAAGGTGCTGGCAGATCATGAACTGGGGGAAGGGGAGTCATTTTATGCCAGAGTTAGCCACTGGCACACTGTCCATGACTCAGTAAATAACCCTACACCCGTACACATGCACATAACTCTAATTAAGTTGTGGGTCCTAAAGAAAAAAAAAAAAAGCTGGAGCTCGATGTGCTGGGAAAATGGGCTGGGGGTGGGGCAGTGGGTCAGGTCAAGGAGTAAAGGTGATCAAATACAGTATTTACACAATAGGATTCTGAAAGAATACATCTTAAATTACTTTGTAAAAAAGTGGAGAAAGTTGGACACGGTGGCACATGCCTTTAATCTCAGGATTTAGGAGTCAGAGGCAGGATCTGAACTCTCTGATCCACAGTCAGCCTGGTCTATATATAGAGTTCCAGGCCAGCCAGGGCTACATATTAAGACCTTGTCTCTAAAACAGAGGGTTCGGGACGTGGTTCAGCAGTTAGGGGCATTCGCTGCTCTTGTAGAAGACCTAGGTCCAGTTTCCAGTATCCACATTGGGCAGCACACAGCTGCCTTTAACTCAAGCTCCAAAGCGTCCAACACTCTCTTCTGGCCTCTGTGAGCACCTGCATGTGCTTACGCGCGCGCGCGCGCACACACACACACACACACACACACACACTCGCACGCACGCACGCGTAAATAATTTTTTAAATTATAAAACAGATACCCAGTGAAATGGCTCATTAGTCAAAGGAACCTGCTGCCAAGCCTGATGACTTCCATCCCCAGGTCCCACAATGTGGACGGAAAGATCTGACCCACACAGGGTGTTCAGACTTCTATGTGCCTGCATGACAAGCACACCCTCATGTAGGCATATATTTTTCACAACCTATTTCAATAAGGGTTCAGCTTCCCCTCTAGCCCACCACCCACCAGAGGTTGTGGAAAAGAAAGTTTATTAGGATACGGAGGAAGAGGACTTGTTTAGAAATTGTTCTTTGGGGCAGTTTCAATCTTTGTTGTTCTCAGTCCAGTCCACTAGCAAACCCCAAATGTGAATCAGCAGCTGCAGTCCAGCCCACTCAACAGACACCACCCATGAACCAGCAAAAGCAGTTCAATCCAGAAGAAACCTCAAGACTGGCCAATCAGCCCAAGTCCATGGCAGCGGCAAGAAGCTGCAAGAATCTCACAAGACGTTCTTTGATGGATTTCTTTTCTTTTTTTTTTTTTCTTTTTTCTTTTTCTTTTTTTCTTTTTTTTTTGGTTTTTCGAGACAGGGTTTCTCTGTGTAGCCCTGGCTATCCTGGAACTCACTCTGTAGACCAGGCTGGCCTCGAACTCAGAAATCCACCTGCTTCTGCCTCCCAAGTGCTGGGATTAAAGGCGTGTGCCACCACCGCCTGGCTGATGGATCTCTATCAATGAAGTCACCACAAGCTCAACAACACAATGTCAGGCAAACCAAGATGTATGTTGTTAGTGAACTAGTGAGGCAGAGCAAACCGAACCAATGCTTGAGCTCCCACTGTCTGTGGGGTCCTATTTATATTCTATCTAAACATCTTTCATGCCTTTAAAGCTCCCAAGGAATGTCAGGCCAGACAGTCAGATAGCTATGTGTGTCTGGGAAGCAATGGCCACCTAGTGAACATAAAGAGGTCATGAAGGGAAAGTCCCTGGAGAAGCTGAGGCCCTTGAAGAACCCAGGCCAAGAGAGAAGTGACACTTTTTATGCCTGCAGGCCAATGTATCCAGAACTCAGTACTGAGAATGAATTGTTATTGGACAGGTTAGCAGGGATTAGGTAGTGATAGGCCTTAAGTCCACCAGGATCACAGGAATTACCTAAAACCTTTTGGAGTAAAGTATCGAAACAACTTCACTTCCAATATTTTGTCACCTGTTTAAGGCATGTTGTGTGCCAGGACACCCAACACACATGTAAAACCTGGCTGCTCCAGGAGTTTATCAAATACTTGACTGTGCCCTTGGGAATCTAGACCAGGGTTATAAGATGGGGCCCCAGATTTGTGTCAACCACGTAGCCCACCGAGGGGCTTTAGGTCGAAAGCTGTTTCCTCTGCACTCCCAGCCTTTGGAAATCAAGAAGAGAACTGAGAAAGTACAGAGGGGCACGCAAAGCCTTGAAGAACAAGGTGCACACAAAGCCTTGAGGAACAAGGTGCTCTACAAGCGAGACAATTGCCACAAAGGAGCGTTTCCCTCGCACGCCCTCCTGCCTACCTATTCTTAGTTTGACATATCGTCTCCTGCAAGAACAGTACCCTCAGCTTCTTACTCAACAAAATTACCTTTTCATCTTAACTCTGGGCTTAGAGAAAAGCTGAGCAAAAGGAGCATGTTTATTGATTTTGACTCAACGCCCAAAGACAGCCTCCATCACAGACCCTGTTCCCAGGGAAAGGATTTCTCCTAAATTAATGTAACCACAGTGACTCTCAGTGCAAGCCACTTGAGCTGGAAGAATTGAATTTGTTCCTATGGTTCAGTGCTTGGCATCCTCCCACCCCTTTGTGGAAAGTTTGGGTTATAGGAACACATACAGCCAGGAAGGATTGTGCATGTCTGAACACATTGAAAAGCATTAGCAGAGAATGCGTAAAAGAATACTATACTTGTCTCATGAGACCTGCTTGGGTAAGAATAGGAAGAGAAGAAAGACCCTTTCTTTTTGTTCTTTTAGATCCCAGACCTAGAGAGCCAGACTACGAAGGGGTTAAAAGACATTTAGAGAACAGATAAATCGCCCCATATGAACCAGACTGCTCAGTGTATTCTCACCTCTGCCCCACTTTTAAGCAGGTCTGGCTCTGAATTGTCAGTGCCTTTCAAAGTCTGACACCCTGCTGGCCCTCTTCAGTGGCACCACAGTCTTCCTCAGCCTGTCTTTCATCTCTACAGTTTGTGCCTGTACGTTGTCTTCCAGGGAAGCTACCCTTCTTGTGAGAGGAGTTTCCTTGCTTCTGGATGATCTTTGCCCTTCCTCTGACCGCTTATACCCAGCCCTCATAAATGCTGGACTCTTTGGTCATCTCTGCAGCAAGATTTAAGTCCCCAGTCATAGTTTCATTAAGTCTATGAGAATTACCTTTTCAAGAAACTAGAACTAGGCCCACAAAATCTTCCTTGCTGTCTAGGAGGATGAGAATGGCTTTCTTCCCCTGTAGCTCTCTCTCATCTGTGTAGGAACATTTCCCTGGGCGTGCCCACTATAGACACCAGTTTGAAGGGTTTATGAAGATACTCAGAAAGATCTACCATTCTAACTTGAATGTATGCTTAGAATGGAGGCCAGTGCTGACTTCTTCACCTATACAAATTCCTCACCAGAAGCACACCCTGAACAGCATCCATGCTGCTGGGTAGTCAGGCCCTCAGGCTATTCTGGGTGAGGACAGGCCAACTGGGAGAGATTCCAAAGAAAATGTATGCTTGTTTCTGACCATCAGAGCGTTTACTGGAAATGTGGACCTGGAACTAGGTTGTATGATATCCTCTTCAAGGTACAAAGGAATGTCTACAGAGAGTGGTCCATGGAGAGAGAGAAGATTGCATTGTAGCACACATGCTGTTGAGCTGTCATGTTTCCACCATTCCTGGCTCTAGTCATTCTGATTGTATTTACTCAGTAATGGTACTGTGCCCTTTTCAGCCTGTCCTGTCCCTGCTCAGAAAGCCCTGCTCTCCCTGACCAGATCCTCACCCTAATTCTGACAAAATCTCATTCATCTGTCAAGGCTCTATCCAAATGTCACTATCCCTGTGAAGCCCTTCCTTGACAACTGCCACCCACTTTGCAACTATAGCACTACAGACTCCTGGGGTTCGTCCGTGGCTACAGGCAGCTACACTGGGGCAGCTGCACCACACTGGCTTGTAGTACAGTCATGCCTCATGGACTGTACCAAAATGGCATCTGGTCCTCGTTTCCGCACCAGAAGGCACTCAGCAATAGGGATAGAGGCAAACTCAGCTGGGCTTGTTCTGAGCTCCTGCATCATATGGTTTTAGAGGATCTGTATTAGGAAGCTGGAGTGACCAAGAATAGAAGGAAGTATAGGACATGACTGGGCAATCAGAAGCAAGTAGCACCCAGATCACAGGCCATACAGGATGAAATCTTAAGGTTTTATCCTTAAAAACAAAAAAGAAAGACAGACTGGGAGTGGTGTGCATGCCTTTGATCCCAGCACTGGGGAGACAGAGACAGATGGAGGCCATCCTAGTCTACAGAGAGTTTCAGGACAGACAGGGCTACACAGAGAAACCATATCTTGAGAAAATGAGAGAGAGAGAGAGAGAGAGAGAGAGAGAGAGAGAGAGAGAGAGAGAGAGAGAGAGATTGAGAATATCTTTTTATCTTTTTTGTTTGTTTGTTTTTTTTTTTTTAACAGATTAGGGATGAAGAAGCCCAGCAGGAATACCAGGAGACCCCAGCTTCTACTGTTAAGGAACAGGGTACGTTTGGGGAAATTGTTTGTTTTGTTCTTTGAAACAGGTCCTTGTGGTAGAGCCCAAGCTTGCCTCTAATTCTTGAGTCTTCTCCTGCCTTAGCCTCCTTCATGCTGAGATTACAGGCATGAGCCACCATGCCCAGCCACCCCCTGCTTCTGACATTGAACTCAGTAGCCCAGAAATTCCAACACATTTCCTAATAAACTGGAAAGTTTCAAAGGAAAGCCGGAAGGGATGTGGTTCCCTCATTTGTGGGGCTGAAGAACTATTTCTGGGAAGCATTTTCTCTTCATCTGGGGCGTCAGCATTAAGACTGGAGGTGCAGCCGGGCGGTGGTGGCGCACGCCTTTAATCCCAGCACTTGGGAGGCAGAGGCAGGAGGATTTCTGAGTTCGAGGCCAGCCTGGTCTACAGAGTGAGTTCCAGGACAGCCCGGGCTACACAGAGAAACCCTGTCTCGAAAAACCAAAAAAAAAAAAACAAAAAACAAAGACTGGAGGTGCAGAGGCTGGGTCTGGAGCTCAGTTGGAAAATACTAAATTCACTTTTACAAAGCCCCAGTGACAATCCCCAGCACCTCAAAAAACCAGGCAAGGTACACACCTGCAATCCTAGAACTCTAGTGGTTTACAAAAAAACAAATTAGAGGCTGGCCCAGGTTGTATAAAATCTTGTCTCAAAAAACAAATAAATAAACTCAAGGCATAGACAGATGCTCTGCCTGGTCTAGGAATACCCAAAGAGGAATATCCTTCCAGCATTCTGATCTTTTACTCAGAGTAAGGACGTGGAGTGGGATGCAGTTATCCAGATGCAGGATGTGAGCCTGTGAATTACTGGACAAGTTGTGGTTTCCTGTGGAAACATGTCAGCTCTAGTGGATGGCTGAGACTTGAGCTGTATAAATATCTCAAGCCTGAGTTTGAAAATATGCCAAGGTCAGAATAGAATCTTGCTGAGCAAAGGTGAAATTGGAAAGGTCAGAGCAAACATTTTACCTGGCTCTAAATAATTCTTAGTGTGCGAGGCTGCCCTGTGATCTCCTCTTAGATCAAGGAGACTGTGGGCCAGCATCTCTTCCATGCCTGAGTGTTTTCCTTACAGATGCTACATTGGGGCATAGCCTGCCAGGGCTGGTTGTCACTCCACTGCAACATAGCAATCCATCACCACTGAAAGAGCCAGCAGCCAGAGGCTTCTTGGGGTTTCTAAGGTAAGATAGAGGTTTTGCCATCAAGCTGAAAAGCAATCTGAGTTCAGTTGCTTCGTTGAGTCTTGGAGGGGGAGAGACTAGAGAAGGAGATTTTTCCTATGATTTCTCATTGTATCAAAGATGGATGATAGAAATGGAATTGAGAGCAAAGGCCTTGATTCAAAAGATTGCACTTTTTTTTTTTCTTTTCTTGAGACGTTTCACTATGTAACCCTGGCTGACCTACTCACAGAGGTCCCCCTGCCTCTGCCTCCAGAGTGCTCGGATTAAAGGTGTGCACCACCACACCAGGCTCTCTTCTTCTAAGACAGGGTCTCACTTTGTAACCCTGGTGGATTTTTGGGGTTGGGATGCTCTGTTGTCTGCTCACTTGTGCAGTTCTCTCCACCGGGAGGTGCCCACATAAGGCCTGTTTCACAAATGTTGATTGAACAGAAACATCTGTTTTTCTTGGGTCATTCAGATGATTTGGAGTCCAGAATGCTTTCATTCTCCCATCCAAATCTAGGTGTGTGTTCAGAATCCTTTCTGCAAAGGACCCTGAGCAAATCTTTATCTGTCTAGAGCTCAGCCATCCTGTTGCAGTTCTCTCTCCTTTATTTCCCTCTTCCGGGGATAATCTAATTTGGGTGCCTTCTCAAATGCTGCTTTGGACTTGGGTTTCCATTCAGTGGTTCCCCAGTGCAAAATGCCCTGGCTAATGAAACACTAATGGGAACCAGGGAGCAGGGAGCGAGCTCCTCAGTCTCAGATCCTCTGTTTGCATCCTGCAGTGCTCTCTTCCCATTTGGATACTTCTTCAGGAAGAGCAGTCAATGAGCCTTCCAGGCACCACAGTGTGGGTCGGCACAGGAAAGAAGATGTCCCCTCGCAGTGACTCTTCCTGAACTACACTACACCTCCTTTGCTTTCATTTTCTCTTTTTTTCTTCTGTTTATTTTGAGACAAGCGTTACTGCATACAGCCCAGGCTGGCTTCAAGTCTGTACCTTGGCTCCCTCTGTGCACCCCCGCGTGCCATCCTTTACTCTTAACCCTGGTCATGGGCATGAGGGCACCAGACTGGATCCTCACAGGAGTTTATCCTGTTGTTTGCTTTTGGTTTTTCCTGTCTAAAACACTAAGAATGTGGCTGGAGAGATGGTGATTAGGTGCATATAGCTATTGCAGAGGTCCTGAGTTTGGTTCTCAGGACCCATATCAAGCAACCTGGAGCTCCAGCTCTGTCAGAATGGTCTGACCTTTCTTCTGGCCTCTGCAGAAACTTCCGCCCCTCGGCCCAACCCCCATATTTGGAAAAGCAAAACAAAACAATGCTAAGAAGGGCCAACAAAGTGTCTTGATGGGTAAAGCACCTGCAGCCAAACCTGATAACCTGAGTTCAACCTCTATACATGCACCATGGCTTACATATCACACATAATAAAATGTAATTTTATTAAAAATTTCAAAATAAATAAATAAATAAATAAAGCACTAAAGAATTCTACTGCCCTAAGGTTTAAGTCTTCTGTCTCTAGTGTTTAGGACTCTAATGCCGATAACTGCTCATAGTGGACCATTGATTGAACTTAGTGAACTAGAGCAGAAGAGAGAACAGAGAAGCAGTCATGGGCCTCCCCCAAGCCCCAGACTCATGTTGTTGCTTAGTGAACCACATGATGTATACCTGCTCTCAGCTCTTACAGTTCTTTACCAGGGGTCAAGGGAATAAGGTCACATGGATTCACTAGCCTGAGTCCCACTCCACTGCCCCAAAGAAACTATCCCATCCTCACTTGGTTTGGCCCCAAGGATAGTGCTAAGAATGTGAAATGCTCCCTAAGGTGCCTTGACAGGAACATAGACCAGACTAAGTGGCAGCCAGTGCCGGCCGGTTAGGGCCCTGGAAAAGGCCAAGGTACCCAAACCCTTTCTTCACCCAAGGGCCATCTCGAGACCCATCTTGGGCTTATGTGACATCGGAGAACCAAAAGAATAATGGGTAGAAATTTAGGAAAACTCGTTTTAGCTTTTTAACTTTTAGTGAAGTCCAATATTAAGATGGACTACCCTTGGTCTTTAAACAGCCATTTGTCTGTTGCATGCCACAGGGTTCCCAATCAGAAGCCTGGGTCTAAAGTGCTGGGTTCCTCTGAGTCCTTTGCTTGGCTGTCTCTACTTTTGATGGGGAAAAGGAAGAAGTAGGGTGCTAGGGGGTGGGCAGGCAACCCAGAACCTAGGGCCTGAGCAGGGGACACTAAAGGCAAGCAAGGGTATAGGGATGGGGGGTTAGCAACATGGGCAGTACCAGTTTTCCCAAACCCTGTTCACTATATTTGTCCTACAATCCTGAGCATAACTTCACAGACAGCTCCTGCTGAAGGACACAGCTCCAAAGCCTGGCCATCTGAGTGCCCATGCTGACTGGGACCAGTTAACATAAGGACATCTGCTGCCCTTTTTTATCATCTGGAAAGTGAGAGGTAGGATTTGAAGAGCTCTGAGGAGCCCTCAAGCTCTGGCAGCTGTGGGCCGCCCCACTCTTCTGAGTGTAGTAGTGGTCAAAGAGGGGCTGCCTACAATCACCATAGACCTTGGTCGAGGTACTTCTAAATTCAATGTCCAGCTAATGTTGACTAAGATTTTTATTGTTTGTTTGCTTGTTTTATGGTGCCAAAAATGGATGGAACCCAAAACCTCAAGCTTCTAGGCAAGTGCTCTGCCACGGAACCACACCCACAGCCCTCAACATGTCACATTCTTGTCCCAGGTGTCACTTAGCACCATGGATAGACAGTATGATAGTGAACATGACTTTTAGTAGAGAGCCTTTCCTCCATAAGCAGAGTTAGACTAGGTGGAGCCACTGAGGGTGGGCTCTAGCTCTGAGTCTAGTTTCTGCTTTTATGTAGACGGCCCCTGCTATTCCAGGGACTAGCAAGACTTCTAGCTCAGAGTTCCACTCTACAGCCAGCCACATGATAAGAAAGCACTACCAGGAATCTGGGAGACTGAAATGGACCTGCCCCTAGTCTGCCACCAAGCACAGCTTAGGTGCCCTCACTAGTGGGATGCCCCTAAAAAAGACTCCTGTTCTTGGACTGGGGATGTAACTCCACTGGTGGAGTGCCTCCTTAGCATTCATGAGGCCCTGTGCTCGACCCCAGAATAGCATGAACTGAGTATAGTGGTTCATGCCTGTGATTCCAGGACTTAGGAGGTGGAGGCAGGAGGATCAAGTTCAGGGTTGCCTCTGGGATGCATCAAATTGTCTTTTTAAGAAAAAAGTTGATTTTCAGTCCCATTCCTTTGCAATCACTAAAAGACAGATTGGGAACCTAGCTGAGGGTAGTAGTTTTTCAACAGAGAATGGCTGATCAGGTAAGAGTCCTGCCCAAGCTCATAGAAGGTGAAGAAAACCCAGCTGCCCACATGTCACGCTGGGCCACTCCTGGGCCTGTCTCTAGTATTCAACACTAGACAGCCTGATGGGAAAGGGAACTGTCAGCAGAGACTGTATTCTGAAGAAACCTCAGATCCTGATCTCCAGGTGGGACTGTGCTGAAGCTTCAGGCTAGGAGGGGCCTGAAAGCTGATATCTGGGAGGGCGGGGCTCTAAAACACCAGCAAATAAAAGCCTGGAGAGCCAGCGCCAATTTGGAGACCAGCAGGAGGCACCGGAGTCTACAGTTCCTGCTGGATTGGGTAGGCTGCTGAAGCCTGAGCAGGTGGAGCCAGGGAGGAGGGGTGGTGGGCCAGGGCCTTGTAGGCCAAATGGCACGTGGCTGGGGGATTTGTACGTATCCCAGATGGTGAGGGACATTCCCGGAGAGATTCTGCATAGAAGGAGGACGTACAAGTGGCTACTCATACCCTTCCAGAGTAGCTGAGGCAAGGAAGAAAACACCCCAAACAGTCCCACCAAAGGCAGAGAGGATAAACAACGCCACCCAGGCACACCTCACCAGTCAGAAGACCCAGAAGCCTGGCTTGCTGGTGGAGAGGCACAGCTTCAAACACTTCCCTTCCCACCCACTCCTTTGCAGATGCCCATGGCACCACAAGTCTTGCTCCTCTGCCTGCTGGGCCTGGCAGTCACTGGCAGGCATGGCCTGGAGGCAGCCATCCCAGGCTGCCACTTGCACCGTGAGTAACTGCTTGGAGAGTGAGTGGGGAGCAAGGGCAGAGCTGCAGACCAGAAGCACCGGTAACCTGGCTGGCACAGCCTTCACGGTCTGCTCTCTCATCTCCTTCCAGCTTTCAACGTGACGGTGCGAAGTGATCGCCACGGCACCTGCCAGGGCTCCCATGTGGCGCAGGCGTGTGTAGGACACTGTGAGTCTAGTGCTTTCCCCTCCCGGTACTCTGTGCTGGTGGCCAGTGGCTATCGACACAACATCACTTCCACTTCCCAGTGCTGCACCATCAGCAGCCTTAAAAAGGTAAGGAGCCCAAACCTGATGGGGCGTAAGGGTGGGGACCCAGGGACCTGAACCTGAGGGGGCGTGAGGGTGGGGACCCAGGGACCTGAACTTGATGGGGCGTGAGGGTAGGGACTGAGGATGGGAAGGAATGGGAACAAACTTGGGTCCTCCTCCAACAGGTGAGGGTGTGGCTGCAGTGTGTGGGGAACCAGCGTGGGGAGCTTGAGATCTTCACTGCCAGGGCCTGCCAGTGTGATATGTGCCGTCTCTCCCGCTACTAATCCCAGAAGGGCTCAGGCTCCAGTCCTGGCACTAATGTGTCATGGATCTCTCCAGTGAGGGGCTCTGGCCCTCGTTAGAGTCTGTGAGGATGGGGTCTCACCTCCTTTTACCTGACCTTCACGGCAGTCTCATTGCTATGTTCTCCTTCGCTCCTGTCCTCAGTAAAGCAAGCAATGTTTGAGTTTCGCTCTTTATTAAGTCTGCCCCCTAGCCAGGTGAAGGGGACAGACCATAATTACTGTGACCCCCCCCTCACCCCAGGACAATGTGAATCTCTTCTTGCCTGTGCCCTCACCCCTCCCCCTGCCCAATAAATAAAAAGGGATAAGGAAATTCAGGGCAAGGGAGAGGAGAGGAGGATGTCCCTGGACAATGTCTTGTTGAGGGTGAGCTGGGCAGAATAAATAGACTGTGCCCCCATGGTGGGGATGAAGAAGGCCCTGGCCAGGCGCTGAGTGTCCATGCCCCAGGCCAGGAGCAGGGGTAGATGCCCGGCTACCGCCGGGAGCCTAGCTGTGTAGGGCAGGGGAGGATCCCTGATGCCAGCTTCCCAGTCGCACACTCGCCCTGGTCTAGTCTTGCCAGAATCTTGCCACAAAGGCCTGAGGGTCCTGCTGCCAAGACTACCATCTTGCCTTGTCTTCCCCTCCATGAAGCTGTCCCATGGGGCTGGTAGGGAGTCCTAGAGCCACTCTGGCAAGGGCACGGGGAGGCATGGCCTCGCTGGGTGGGCCCCTGGGCAGAGGGATGGAGGGGCTGATAGCTCTGGGTTTAGCTTCTCCTGTTCTAGATTTATCTAGCTCTGACCCCCACTGGCAGACACCTGGGGCGTAGGCCGTGGGACAGGGACTTCCTTGGCCCCTTGGGTCCCCTGTAGCCGGCGTAGCCGCAGTTCCTCCAAGCCTCGCCATAGCTCCTGCCGCTCCTGGGCCTTCTGTTGCTCCCTGGGGAAAGAGGGTGAGGCAGCTCTTCTTCTAACTGGCAGCTGTCTAACCTCCTTCACCACTCCCCCACTGTAAAGTGATTAGTACTCCACGGGAACCCTCAGCTTAGAGAAGAGGTGAGGACAGAGAGAAGAGAAAGAACTGGGCTTTGAGCTGTTCTGGCTAAGGCGGGGAGTCAGAGCAGCCAGTGGGCATGGGTCCTGAGAAGAATGGCTGTATTTGCCCAGGACAGACATAGGATGAGGCTGGGAACACCACACGGGATGGGTCCTCTTCATCTCCCTGCAGCCTGAGGGCTTGATTCCTTCTTCTCTGCCCCTCCCCAGTGGCTAGCGTCCCTCCCACCCGGTACTCACTGCTGTTTTTCCAGCTTGTAGGAGGCCGTGAGCTCATCAAACAGCTTTCCATTCATCTCCATGAAAGTCTTGAGCACATTGTAGATCAGGGACACGATGGTTCTGACATAGCAAGGAGATCCATGAAACACCATTCTGCTTGTCCCAGAACACTGTCCATTCATGTCCCTGCTCTTTTACCTCCCTTTGACATCCCAACATTTGCTCACAACTAGGAGAGGCCCCAGGGGCTGGACTAGCTATGCTGTCTGTCTCTGAAAGGTGGAAAGCTTGGGCACTTACTGATTCCAGTGCTCCTTGGACACTTGGTAGAGGGTCCCAAATACCGCAGGCAGCACAGTGTGGCAGTTGTCCTCAATGAGGCTCAAGATGTACTCATTGTTCCAGAAATACAGAGCCCGCTCTGCAACCTGGGCAGGTGAAGCAGGAAAGAGGGCCTGGTGGTGGCTTTTGGGTGTGCACGGTCTGTTTTTTCTCCTTACCCTCAAACCCAGATCCCCTAACTTTCACACCCCAACCTGAGGGCTTATCTGACCCACTGGAGAAAACAAATGAAGGAGAGAAAAGGCCCTGGCTTTACAGTCCTGACTCCTGCACAGCTGCTGCATGCATGCGGCCTTGCAAGGCATTCAGCATCTCAGCCTCAGCTGTGTGCTGTGGGGATGGAGTAAGAACGCTGCTCTCCACCAGCTGTGGTCGGGATGAGAGAAGTTCCTGTTCTTCAAGGTGCTTTAGAAGTGAAATCTCAGAGCCATCATCCCCTAACTTCCACACCCCAACCTGAAGAACAAACAAGTTAGAGGAAGAACAAACGTCCACCAGGTTATGGCTCCTGGGGATAAGAGTGAGTCTAGAATAACATGGGGACCTGACCTTCTGGCCAGAAAGTGGGGACCGTTGAAGTCTAAAGTTACCAAGAAAAGAGGAGAGGGTCCAACAGTTCTGCAGCCCACTGTGGGTCAGTTTCCCTGGTGTGTTTACAACTATGAGCTCTTGCTCCTGTCAATATGAAGGGTCTATTGTTGGCCCATTTTATAGTCAGGGAACCCCACTTAGACTTAGATAAGTGATTTCCTCAAGGCCTCTCAGCCAGTAGAATACATATCTGAGGTCTGGCCCTCAGACCCATGAGCCTAAGGCCATCATCTCCCTGTCATCAGGCCTAGGGCTAGAGGAGAAGCTGAGGTGAGAAGGGGCTATGTCTGGACAACTGAGAATCCTTGCCAAGCTGTGCCCCTGCCCTGATCCCACCTCCCTTTGTCACACACCTGGAAATGGGGGCTGGAGACACAGCGAGCCACCTGCTTGAAGAGGGGCTCCTGGACCTTCACAAACTGGGAGGGCTCGATGACATCAAGAATCTCTTCCATCTCCCCCAGGAACATCACCTGGGGAGAGGGCAAGGCAGCAGTTTATGTTCCCCTAAAGTACACACTTGCTCCCCTTCTGGAAGCTGAGCCCTCCCCACTACTGTCAGGGTTGTGAGAACCCTTCATACCTCCTTCTGGGTGCAGGTTTTAGGCCAGTATTTAAGGAGCCCCCGGATAACCTAGAGGGTGGAGAAGGAGTCAGACCCGAAGAGTGAGGGGCCCACCTTCCCTCCAAGGTACTCACATGCTCTGTCAAGGTTGCATCCTTCTCCAAGAACTGCACCACACAGTATGCCAGCTACAGGGACATGGTGGGAAGAAGTAGCCAAGGTCAGGAAGGGCCAGGAGCCAAGAACTAGCTGCCTAGGACAGCGTGCCAGGCATCTGCTCATTACTGCCTTCACACTCCTGTTCACTGAGTGCTTACTGCTGCTCTGGACCTACAAGGCACCCAGCGCTGAGAGCTGGAGAAGCACAGGGCTGGTGTGTGAGGTCAGCAAGGCACCAGCGCTGAGGGCTGGAGAGGCACAGGGCTGGTGTGTGAGGTCAGCAAGGCACCAGCGCTGAGAGCTGGAGAGGCACGGGCTGGTGTGTGAGGTCAGCTCTCAGGTAGAGGACACTGAATTACTAGAGACTGGGGGGTGAGCCCGGATCCAGTAAGTGTCAATTTGACTTCTTGTCCCTGCAGTCAGCCCTGAGTGTCAGCAAATGCTGCCCCTGCTTCAAGGCTAGACCTAGGCTCACCTGAGCATGAAAAACAGACAGTGACTTGACAGAATGCAAGGGGATCAGAACTCGAACCAGGAACTGCTTGTGCTCAGTCTTCAGGGGCAGCGCAAAGCCATTGATGATGCTTTGGAGTGGACAGAAAAGAGGAGCAGGGCTCAGCCAAGCAGGCCCCAGTCCCTCCTACCAGAAAGCCCAGCTCCAGCCAAAGCCCCAGGAACGTTACCTTCCCAAGATCTCTAACAGCTCTGCCACGCCGTTGAAGTGCTCCAGCTCATAGATGAAGCTGCAGGGAAAGAGACGAATGTGGATGGCGGGAGCTTTCAGACAAGCCCAGCTCTCCATCACCCTTCCTGCCAGCAATCCTGACTCACCCCACACAGCTGTCCAACTGTCCTCACAGAATTGCTCCCTTCCTGGGGCCCCAAACCAGCACCCATTGATTCCACACCCACCTGCAAAATGTCTCCCAGACCAGCCATCTCAGCCACTGTCCCAGCTCAGCCTCTCTTCCCTGAGACAGCCCCAGCTCACTTCTTCAGGTCCCTAGCACTTCTTACCTGATGCCCAGCCAGGCAGCAGGCACTCAGCCTAGGACTTTCATACAGTCAACCAAAGCAAAGGCAAAAACCTCTACCCTGCACTGTAATTCTCAACATCCCCCTAGGAGGCAGGGCCTACAAAAGCCATTACAGAGATGAAGTTGAGACTCTGTAGCTAAAGGCTACTCATCTCAAAGTTAATAAGTGGGGAAGCTAATGGACTCTGAGCTCCTGGAAAACATGGGTCAGGGCTTCTTTATTTTATCACTAAAAACAACAGCTAATGTTTCAGAGGCCCCATCTCAGGCCAGGAACTATGCCAGGTGCTTTGGAGGCCCATCTGGCTTCATCTGGAGAATGGCCCCACATTAGCACAGGCAGTGTGCTCACTTCAAAGGATGAAGCAAGAGGAGAACTTCAAGGACTTGCCCAAGTTCACCCAAATACTGAAACCAAACTCAAATATACAGCCATGGTCTCAACTACAAGGTCACAGGGACTCCCCATGTCCAGTGGATATGGTGTTCAGAACATGTTTGTAGAAAGAATTTCTCTGGGTCATTATAGGCCAGGCTGATAAGGATTAGAAGATCTAGCTCTACATCCCTCTGGGCTGCCCTGGTCCATCTAAACTACTTAACTAGCCTCTGTCTTCCTACAGTAGTCTCACTTGGCCTCTATTTTCTCCTCTGTAAATGGGAATGAATACTTATTCTCTGCTGATTTCACAGGCTTCATATAATCAATACTACATTGAACACCCAGAACTTGATAAGCATACAGCCCGGGAGGCCCAGCAGGTCCCTTCTTCCCTGCCTCCCTCCCAGATCTCTGCTAGGCAGGCAGTGCAACGCACCGGAGGAAGATATGGTTGCACTGTTTGCGGATGTAGGCCCGGAGACCCAGGAACTTGCCGTATACCCGATGCAAGATGGTCTTGAGGTACTCACGTTCCCGGGGGTCCTCACTGTCAAATAGCTCCAGGAGCTGCAGGACCCAGGGTCAGGGTAAGAGAAAGCCAGATGTCAACCTGTTTTTCTCCCCATCCTATCCCATGTCCCTCAGATAACCTGTGCCCGCTATATGGTACCACCCAGCCTGGGCTCCCCAAGTCACCATCAGGACAAACTTTTGATCCACGTATCTCTTGGCCACAGAGGGCTGGAAATCTGGACTCTCCAAGAAACGTAGGAAAAATTCATATACCAGCTGTGGGTGGAAGACAGAGCAAAGAGTGAGTTTGGCTGCAGCCTTTCCCACTTCCCTTACCCTGCAGCTCTCGGCCAACAGTCAGGGTCTCCCTCAGCCCTCCAATCTACTGTGAAACGCAGACCCTGCCCCAGCCCTTCACACCTGCAGATGTGGCCACGAGGGCTCAAGGTTGGGCTCATCTTCTTCAGGGTCAAATTCAGGGTTCTCGCTGGGTGGCAGCGTCCTGAAGATATTTACTGATATCTATTAGGGAAAGGGAGGGCTTTTTAAGGATGAGACCATAGAAGCAGAAGTTTTGGAGACTCTCAAAGCTCTCTATATCCCAGTCAGGTAAGGAATTTGTGGCCTTCCTGCCTCAGCCTTCTAAGTAACTAGGATTACAGGCATGCAGCATCAGGCTAAGCACTTTGGTTGTTTGTTTGTTTGTTTGGTTGGTTGGTTTTTGTCTTGTTTTTTGACAGAGTTTTATCTGTCTAACAGAGCTCTGGCTGTCTTGGAACTCTCTCTGTAGACCAGGCTGGCCCCGAACTCAGATATCCACTTGCCTCCATCTCCCAAGTGCTGGGATGAAAGGTATGCACACCACCACTGCCTGGCATGGCCAAGCAATTTCTAAGTACAGTGAGTACATGGGACTTGAACTTGAGGTCTTGCACTGAGTTTTACCACCAGACCTCATCCAGTTCTCCTGGACTGACCTACTCCCCAGCAAGGAAGATTGTCCTCTGGACAATTTTCATCTAAACACCAAGTTCACACAAGCCCTACACCAAGGGCTGGAGGGCGGCTTGACACATCCATACGTGGATGTGATCCAGCAGTGATGGTAAGGTTGAAAGCAATGAAGTCCCCAGGGCCAAAGTGTTTCTGCTTGGACTGTGAGAGAGGGTTTCATGCCTGAGTCAGACCATGGAAGACAAGTGGGCTGGAGGACAGGCACCCTAGGCCCAGCTCACTCAAGTATAGGGACAACAGGGGGAGGAAATCCTGAGAGGGTGTTGGGTAGCGTGGGACTCAGTGAAAACGGAAGCATGGCCCTGAGACCAAGCTGAAGAGTACACATTGGCTCTTCCCATAGGGGTCCTTTGTCCCTGAGGCAGGGTGCAGTGCTTACCATGCGGATGATGTCTGGGTAGACAGGTTCGATGAGGACCCCCCGGGTGCTCCCCACACATTCCACCAGTTCATTGAGGGCTGCACGCTTCACCTCCTTCCCCTTGAGATCAGCCACACAGTCCAAGAAGTCAAACATCACCCCACATTGGGCCAGTTTCCGGCTCAGCAACTCATGTAACTCAGAGGCTGGCACATCTGGGGGGAGGGACAGGGAGACAGCCTGGATCAAGCTGCCAGGGCTCTGGACAGGGTGTATCTCCTCATCCCTCGGGTTGACTTTCCAGGAAGCCTCAGTTGTCCCCATACAAGGTACTCTGGTACAGCAAACAAACAATTCTAGTCCCATCCTTCACTCCTGGGAGGCTGAGGGTAGGAAAGTGGTTCTCTCTTATAATCCAGGATCAGAGACCTCATGAGTTTAAAGCAAGATCCCAAACCCTGGATATTCAGGCATGCCCCCCACAGCCACTGCCTCCCTCTGCACATGGACCTGTGACCCAAAAGTAGAAAGCAGGGCAGGAGTGAGGTGGGGAGATGTGCTGATCAGAGGGAATCATGCCAACTACCTACCCCAGGACCTAGGCAGCTGGCTGGACTGATAGTAGCCTCCTGAAACCTAGGCTGTGTGCCCCACCCTTGGCCCTTGCCTGCCCCTGGCACCACTTCCAGATGCCCCACCTCCAGAGATGACAGGCCAGTCAGGCCATGCGTCAGCAGAGGCCTGGAGACTGAGGGTCAGTTCCGATGGAGTTCCTAGCCTGAAAGAGTATCCAAACTCTACCTGACAGCTGCTTCTCCCTTGGTCCTCCCCCATCTTGCTTCCTTCTGGGCTTAGGTACCCTGACAACCAACAACAGCTCACCTTTGAGCAGGGGCAGCGGAGTGAGCTCTTGCTGGTTGCTCTGATAGCGGAACTGAGAGGAGCTGTGTGAACGACGGGGCCGGGCCCTGCGGAGGGACCGGCGGGAGAAGCCATCCACCTTGTCTGGTGGTGGCACTGGAGACAACCCTGGGGAGGAGGGACTTGTGGGGGTGCTCGCCGGGGGCAGCTTCGTCTCCATGGCCAATGGGCAGCACGTCAATCTTTCAGAGCCCAAGGGGCTCCTTGTGGGTCTGGAGTAAGCTGAATGAGGCCACACACATTAACTGGGACCCATCCTGTCCAGCGTGTTGAGGGTGGGGGCACGACCACAGTCCTGACCCCCCCAGGGCCTCTGGCAACTGCCCAGTCCTGGGGGGGCAGGCAAGGTAGAAGGGCAATGGCTCAGGTCTTTCCTGAGGGTCCAGAAGAGTCCAGTCAGGGTTCCCACGCTGGCTCTTCTGAAAAGTCAGGTTAGAAAGGTCAGCAAGAGAGACATAGAAAGCAGCTTTCCAAAGACAGCCCGCGTGCTGCAGTTACTCCTTACTTCTTTTCCCTCCTTCTCTTGCTAGACCCCAAAACAAGGGTGCAATCATGCCCCTCCCTTCTTCCAGACCCAAGCTCTAAAGTAGCCCCTCCCCAAATACGGCCTATGGCTTCTACTCTGGATGGGGACACTGTTTAGCATCCCCCAGCTCCTAACAGCAGTGTGACTCGCTAGCTCTACTAATGTCTCCCGTCCCGGTGCACTCACCCAAAAAATGAGGGTGCTGTTCTCATGCACCCCCTTTCAGACCCTAGCATCCCTCCCCATATCCCGCTCCTTCCTGGTCTCTAAACCTCAATGTGGTATTGGGGTACACACTCACTTCTCAGAAACCCAGACTTTGGTCGCCGACCCTAGAGGTTGCCTCGGTGGAGGGGACGACGGTTCAAGGGTCCTTAGCGGTGGTTCCGCCGCTCGGGGCGCTGGGGCTGGGCGGTAGCGCTCCTGGGTTCGCTCCCAGGCTCTGGGGGTGCTGGAGCATGCCCCCAGCTCAGCCCCAAAAGGGGTCGGGCGCTCGGCAGGCTCTGGGCTGGGCCCCGGCAGCACGCGACCCTTGCTAGGTATCTCCGGATCAGATCCGCGCGGTGCAGCGCAGCGGGAGCCCCGGCTCGTTGCGCACCGGCACCCGCCGCCCAGCTGCTCAGGATGACATCAAGTCACCTCCCCCCTCCCGTCCCGCACCTCCCTCCGCTAGGGGGGGCTGCGTCAGGGAGGCCTCGGGACCGCTGGGAAATGTAGTCCCCACCCTGCTTAAAGGAAGCAGCCGAACCTTAAGGGTAACCTCAGAGCAAGTGGAAGAACTCCGCACTCCTGAGATAAGCTGCGGATTTTAAAACCTGCGAGCAAAGTGGGGCAGATTCCAGCTCACAACTGGCCTCCCGAATTCTGGAAGGGACACTATGTAGGGAAAAAAGAGGATTCTGGTGTTGGAACTTGCTAATGCCGGGACCGTGACAAAACAGAGTCCTAGCATGATGTGCCAGGCCCACAATTTGGTCTGAGTCATCTGTACCTCAGGTCATCCCCAAAGGAGCCTCGTACTCAGCCCAGAATGAGGCCGGACACTTACAAAACCCCTTGAATCCGGCTTTGGAGGGGTTAATAGTCGGCTTTGCGTTAGCGCCTGCTGGGAGGGGTGTGGTTCACTAGAGGCTCCTGGGAAATGCAGTCCATTCTCCGGGCCTGCAGTGCCCCTCCTGTCACTTACTGTCTGTGGTGACATCATGGTCTGTAGTTTAAAGGGACAGTCCTGGGATGCCAAAGCAAGGAGGGCAGAAGGTGCTTGCTACCCTGGAGGTGCCCCCGTCCTAAGGCACAGGACCTCCCACCTTCTCTGGCCCCAAGATGTGCCCTGGAGAGTGGGGAGTTCTTTATCAAAACCCCGATGCTGGGTATCAGCTGTACTCCAAGAGTTTGGCATTCTGCTCAAAAGTTCCTAGCTGCTGTCCTGGGTCCCCTTCATAGTACCAGGACACCGACACTCTATTCCCTACGGTGACTGTGAGGTCCTTACCCCGAAGCTTTACCTGGGTGAGAAACTGGTCCATGCTGAGCAGCAGGAGAGAGCAATGAGGTTGGGGGAGTTGGGGTGCTTTTCGGCCCCACCCATTTATGGACTCTGGTGATCACTTAGTGCTGCAAAAGAAGTCTATATACCCAAGACGTGCCCACCTGTAGAGCAACAAACAGCAGAGGCTGTATTGAGAACACTGTTCCGCCAGCCTAGAATCTAGCACCTCAATGGATGCCCAGAGACTCTACACAAACAGCTGATCTTGACTTGTCGTTTTGCTCTGCTCTTCATCTGCCAGACAGAACAGGAACCTCTAAACTATTACTTGGCCCACCTCCAAGGCTCAGACATGGTTTCCCTCTCTTTACTCCCTAATAATAAGCTGGGGAAACCAGACCCACAGAGCCTCTTCCCACCAGACCAGGACCCAGAGGCCAAGCCAGGAGGAATGCCTTGCTGGTGACACTATAGTGCTTTCCACAGACACTCTGTGCTGCAGTTTTCAGGCCAGGCTGTCTGAAGTCAACTAGCCATGTCTGGCAGGGGCCTAGATGATGCAGAAATAAAACTAGTGGAAGAAGTGGCTTTGAGATTCTTTGTTTTTGATGCTGAGGATGAGTTGTGAGGCTTTGCACATGCTGGGCAAGAGCTCTATTACTGAGCTACATCCCTTATCCCAGAAGTGGAATTTAAATTAACTTTCAAACAGACATTGAAAGATAAAGGGTTAAAAAGTCTTTTCTAGCCGTGCAGTGGTGGCACACGCCTTTATTCCCAGCACTTGGGAGGCAGAGGCAGGAGGATTTATAAGTTCAAGGCCAGCTTGGTCTACAGAGTGAGTTCCAGGACAGCCAGGACTACACAGAGAAACCCTATCTCAAAAAAAAGTCTTTTCTTATTCTTTTTAAACTTTGGGGGCAGGGACGGTATATGTTTTTTTTTGTTTTGTTTTGTTTTGTTTTCAAGACAACTTTCAACTTTTCGAGAATAACTTTCAACATTTTCGAGAATAACTTTCAACTTGATCCTTCTCCTTCCACTTCCCAGTGATGACAAATTTGGCATCACCAAGCCCAGATTATGCTGGGGATCAAACCCAAGGCTTCATGCATCCTAAGCAAGTGCTCTACCAATTGAGCTACATTCCTGGCCCTACTTTTGTCAGTTGTTACTATAATTAATTAAATACACAATTGATGGTATATCAATACCATCAAGCCGGTCGAGGACTGATAGATCTCTTGATTCACTCCATAAACATTTTTTTTTTTTTGAGACAAGGTTTCTCTGTGTAGCCCTGGCTGTCCTGGAACTCACTCTGTAGACCAGGCTGGCCTCGAACTCTCGAACTCAGAAATCCACCTGCCTCTGCCTCCCAAGTACTGGGATTAAAGGTGTGCGCCACTACTGCCCTGCTCATAAACATTTTCAAAATGGCTGCCACCATCAATCTGTCTCTTTGAATGGGCCCTCATAAAGTTTCTCACATCTCTTGGAGGCCCTAAAGACTCTACTACATAATGAGCTGCCATGATGTCATTGTAACAGAAAGGTGGATGATGTGAGCATAAAAAAAAGCAAATCAAGGACACGGCTCTGTGAGAGTATTTGTTTAGTATGTACAAGGACCTGGGTTCAATCTCCAATACTGCTAAAAACAAAACAAAAAACCCAAACAAACAAACAAACAAACAAATACTAAAATAAAATTAGAATCTCCTGTTGGGCCTGATGTAGCAAACTTGAAGTTCCAGCACACATGATAAATGACAGCAGAGAATTAGGAGTTCAAGGCCAGCCTTGACTACAGTTTTTTTTTTTTTAGATTTACTTATTTATTTTATGTATATGAGTACACCATTACTTTCTTCAGACACACCGTAAGAGGGCATCAGACCCCATTGCAGATGGTTGTGAGCCACCATGTGGTTGCTGGAAATTGAACTGAGTACCTGTAGAAGAGCAGTCAGTACTGCTAACCACTGAGCCATCTCTCCAGCCCTTGACTACAGTTTTTGAGCAGTCCAAACTGTCAGACTTGGTCTTGAAGCTCAAAGATTATTAACATTAATTTGCATTTGGTTTTGGACCCCAGGACAAGGGACTGAGGTACATATTTTACATACCAAAGCAGACCTTGCCTCTAGGTGCTCCCAGGATCCCTTAGCATTCCTTCCTGGCATACCCTCATCTTCAGCCTTGAACTTTCCAACCCAGAGGCTGGGCTGCCCTACCCCAGAAGCTCTTGCCTATATAATCCAGACATTTTGGCCCCTCTCTTCTCCTTCTCTCTGTGCTTTCCTCTCCCTCTCCCTTCCCCAGCCCCATTGTGACTCCCCTCACCTCAATTCTTGGGGCCAGTGAACTCACGTGACTGTAGCTTTCCAATAAATCTGCCTTTAATATAATCTAATCTGGCTTGAAATGGCTCATTTTACTGGCGGCAGGGAAATAACCTATCACTTACCAAGAGCTGAAAAGAAGCCAGGTCTCTGCCCCAAGCCAAGATTTTTGTTTATGTCTGCCTCTACACAGTTTGTTTTTAAGAAAGGGTCTCTCTGAGCTGGGTGTAGTAGGTGTCCTGGGTGGGAGGCAGAGGCAGGTGAGTTGAGGCCAGCCTGGTCTACAAAGTGAGATCCAGAACAGTCAGGGCTGTGACCCACACAGAGAAATCCTGTCTTGAAAAACCAGAAAGAGGGAGAGGGAGAGGGAGAGGAAGGGGGAGGGGGAGGGGGAGAGGGAGAGGGGAAGGGGGAAGGACAAGGGGAGGGGGAAGGAGGAGAGGGAGAGAGAGAAGAAGAAAGGAAGGAAAAAAGGAAGAGAGAGGAAGGGAGATCTTCCCTAGCTCATCCAGGAAGTGGCTGTGTAATGGAGGATGACCTTAAGTTTCTGATTCTCTTGCCCCCATCTTCCGAACTCTGGGATTACAGGGGTGCACCACAATTTAGTTTATGTAGTGGATTACAGGGGTGCACCACACACAGTATGACTTCTGGTATTATATTGAGTCAAGCTCCCCATCAAAGCTAAGCTAGATTTTCAATTACTCGTGAACATCTGTATGGCTCTCGTTACAGAGAAAGTTTGGTGGCCACATCTGTATGGCTCTCATTACAGAGAAAGTTTGGTGGCCAACTCTATGGAACAGTAGAGGGTGAACTCATTCTGTAAATAATGGGAAAATAAACAGTTTAGTTTTTGCAGGCTTCTGTCTTAATCTCAATTCCTGAGCTCTGCCACCATATCAGGAGAGCAGCCCTATACTACATTTAACACATGAGCTTGCCTGGGCCCCACTAACAGTGTATGAGCACTGAAGTAAATTTTGGGAGACTTTTTTCATATCATAAACTGTTCTTTGTTATTTTTCTTTCCATATGTCCCCAACCATTTAAGAACAGAAAGAAGCAGGAGCATCACCACAAGTTCAAGGCCAGCCTCCTCTATATGGTGAGCTCTATACCAGCTAGGGAGACACAGTGAGACCTAGCCTCAAAACAACAAGACAAAAGCTTAGAAGTCATAGTTGCCAGGTTGTAGGAACAGGAGATCCCAGTTTGTGGGAAGTTGAATTATTGATTTTAGGATTAGAGATATGAAAAGCCATTATTTCAGAGAGGGCCCCAACAGACCACAGAAGGGAGGGACCCTTAATCCCCTGCTGTGCATTCTTTAGATAGGAGTGGAAAGTGTGGAGACCTTCCTGGTGATAGGCTAAGCAACTTTCATAATCCTATTTTCTACCTCTTAAATTGGGAACAGTAGCAAACTGGATGGAAATGAGAACATGACCACTCTGATGTGAGGGAGAGTACAGCCAGAGGCGTCTGGAAGAAGCCAGAGCAGGGAGAGAGAGAGAGAGAGAGAGAGAGAGAGAGAGAGAGAGAGAGAGAG